CTATACACACTAAGTGTTGGTCTCTAGTCCGTGTCCTCCTCCTCAAGTGCTCGAATACAACCTCTCCTTAGGTTCGTCAACCGACACTACTCCTCTTGGATTCGACCCCGTCTCTCACCACACACTTCTCTCGGTGTACAAGTGTATTACAAGTGATACTCACAATATAAGTTCAAATACAATGTTTTGTTCTCTATAATGAATGAGAACACAATGAAGCTCACTCTCACTAATTCACACACCAATACCCACTAATATATTGTATGAAATAATCTAAGCTCAATAAGGGTGTGTGTGATAAATGAGAACAATGAAACTCTAACTTAATTTAATATAGCAAGATATGAATATAAAATTGATAATCAATAAGCTATATAAAAGAGTTTAGAAAAACTTCTCTACAAACACAAAGAACTGAAGAAATGATGATGAGGATGAATTCCTCAATTAAAATTGAAAGCTTCTTCTTTGTGTAAAACTTCTCTTTTGAAACAAAACTTGAAACAAGGCTTTAAACACTCTTTTGAAACAAAACTTGAAACAAGGCTTTAAACACCTCTTAAACACTTATAAGCTTAATTAAATAAATATCTTGGTTGGTCAAAATGTTTAATGCACTGGGGTATTTATAACAACCCAAAATATTAGTAAGAACCCAAGTAAAAAGACTAAAAAGCCAGAAGAAGACAAAAACTGAAAGTAGCCGTTACAGTGTTATGAGTCGACTCATGAAGTCGACTCAGTACTGTTCATGAGTCGACTCATAAGTAGCCGTTACAGGCTAAAAACTAACTTATGGGTCGACTCATAAAATTCATGAGTCGACTCATAAACCATGGGTCAGCTCATAAGATCATGAGTTGACTTAGCAGAAACAAAACTTATTTTTCAGCACAGTTTGTGAGTCGACTTATGACAGGCATGAGTCGACTCAACCTGATGGGTCGACTCATGATGTTTGTGAGTCAACTCATCAGAAACAAATTGTAAACTACGTAGCAGTTTATGAGTCGACTCAATATTGTTCATGAGTCAACTCATAAACATGTAAACATAAAATTTTAACTTTGAACCTTGTTAAAAAATATCAAATAAATACTAAAAAATGTAAAACTTTGGGAATAGTTTATAACCATGATATTAAACATATTTGTGAAGAAATTTTGGAAATTACATTTGCCATTTGTAAAAGATCATCGTTTTAGCAAATGTGCATATATGTGTAAATATGTAAACATATACATTTGATTTTAATAAAGAAGTGTATTGCAAAACTTTTGTAAAACAATATACAATGTAAACATGATGTTAAGCCAAAGCCACATTGTTTTCATGAAATGAAACAACTTTATGTGTATAAGTATATATTGAGCTTAGAAAATAACACACAATATATACAATAATACCTAAATGATTGTAAACATGGCTGATCTGGATCTTTAACTCTGATATAAACCTATAATAAGACACAATCACTAGGAAACAAAATTAGTTATAAATTGTTTGTAAAATCATCAAAACAAAACAAGAGTGTAGGTTCAAAACCAGAACCCTAACATAATGGACAAAAGGTATATACATGATAATTAGTTATAATAGCTTAAAATTGATATTTTTCTTTTTCCTATATGTGGTATGACTCTGCAAGAAAATTATTTGGAGATATGACTACCAGTAAAGGATTAGTTTTTAAAGACACGATCAAAGATAAGTACATAATAGCACTGTTATATTTCAAGATCTTTAAATATTAAGGTAACATATTTTACTACTAAATTTTTTATTAAAGGTCACTAAACATAAAATTCACATTACATCTGTCTCAAATTTATAGGGCAAATATGCATATTATCGTAAATTGTGTTAACAATATATACCAACACAAAGATACAACTTATTGAAGAACTAAAAGAATGATACATAAACCAAGCAAACATACATATAACAAAATAAAGAAAAAATATTACACTTTAAAGCTAATATGCATGGCTTATTCAGAACAAGCTGCTAATTTTTAAGCATATCCATCAATGCTCTTTACAAATACAATACAAATTTAAACTATTGATATATGCAATATTAATCACAATATCAAAGAGGTATGATCTTATAAGACCTACTCTAAAATTTTCACAATTAAACTTAAAAATACTCTACCAATATATGGACACGTTATTGGACCTATAATGTAAAGATAACTACTATTTACAATAAAGTTGAGTCGTGGTTCTATCTTGCAAAGGCTACAACAAGAAGACTGGATAGAGATGTTAATAAGAATGTCCAAATGATAAATATCACAGAATTACTAATAAAGTAGTACCAATGTTGAGTAATACCCCTTCTTCATGAAATAAACATATCAAAATTAAATATTAACATTATAATCTAAGCCAATTTGATAATGAAAAATACAGATATTTAGTTTAGATCATTGTGGAAAATGACATAGATAGAGTAAAAGTAATATTATTTAACGTGACAGAAACTCTTATTGGATGTACACCAGAAAAATTCATTGCAGAGAAAAAAGAGGTAACTCCTAATCTTTTTTAAAAAATAAATTAGAAACATAAAATTTTCATATATATGAAATTAACATTTAGTCTCATTGAAACACAAAAATAATCAAAGTCTGTATTTGTAGAATTTTTGTTGAACATCAAAAATGCATTCAACTTCTTTGTGAAGTAAGACAAGAAGACAAAACATGAACGAGCTCAGGGAAAAACAATTACACAAGAAATCCAACTCCAGCCTGATGTCACAATCAATATAAATGATGAAGACACAACTCTAAAATTGATCAGGAAAAAGATAAATGTGGAGAAGGATTGATCTTAACTCAATAAAAAAAAACAGAAAGAATAAAAGATTTATTTTTTGAATATTTTATAGAATACCTTAATTTTTTGAGTAAAATCAGGAATCTTTAGAAAGGATTTTCATGAACTCTTTTAAATATTTTTATATGGTTATGTGGATGCTTTTATCATATAAAATATATTAGAGTTAGCATTAACCTTTAGTCAATGGTTTTTTCTGAACTCTATCAATTAATTAGCAACAAACTTCATGTTCTCTTTAGTTTCATTTTAGCCCACTTTTAACTAATCATCTTGCCTCTTTTAGCTTTAATTATTCATCTTTCTTTTATAACACTACTTTTTTAAAGTGTTTTTCACTTTTACAACATTATACTTTCAAGTTTGGTTTCATGTCGGTCCAAATCACATGAAAATTCAAATTGGCTTTAGATTACATTCGTTTCCTATTAATTTAATTATCAACATAAAAAAAATTAAATTTGGTGAACCCATTCAAACAAACATCAAATAAAATAAATAACCACAATGCTAAAATTTAAAGGCATAAGTGAGCAAAAACGATCAAAGTGGAACCAAGGAACAATTTTAGTAAGGAAATAAATTAAAAATATTTAATCATGATATTTAACCACATGCATTGCACGTGCATAAAACATATATAATACCCCTTTTAAAAGTGTGAGTTTGGACAAATCTCTCTATGGTCACTATTACCCTTAATTATTTTGGATTTCATATTATTATCCTATCCTAATTAATACGTCTAAGAAAGTCATAAATTGGCTAAATACTTATCTATTCAATTACTGTGACCCATCAAAGATATAGTAATTAAGACTCTAAAGATAATTTTATAAAACAATTTAATCAAATTTGTTAATTTAAAGCAACTCCCAATTAAATTTAGATTGTCCAGAGTTCAAGTTTTGAAAATAAATGTGAAAATGATAATTTGTTTAAAAAAAGCTTATCAGAAGTTAGTGTATTTCTTTTGATGGAACAAAAAGGCTTTCCATACATAAACCCAAACCCAAACCCATACCATAAACAATTTCCCAACTGAGTCATAGGAAAGATTTAAAATAATAAAATAACGACAACACAAATAGCTGACCACGTGTAATGCATGTGCATTCTATCTAGTATACATATGAGCAATCTGAAGGAACTTAGTACCAAACATAAGTTTTTGTGTTTGGTAGTGAGGTGGTTCATTTACATCCACTCATTCAAATGAAGACCATATTTATATGAGTTGGATAGTGGATGAGAATAAGACATCTCACTCTCAAACACAAAATTTATGCTTCGTACCAATGTCCTATATATAAATGGAGGAATTTCGGACCGAGTAACTTAAGTTTACCTGGTAGTGATGTGGAACAATGAGGGCCTTTGAATTTCGCTTTAGATTAGATCTAGAGTTGTTGGTGTTTTATTCAAATAAAACCCCTCTCACTTGAAGTGAGATAGATGTAGGGGTGCTAAATCGTATCCGTATCTGAGAAAATACCCATAACCGTATCCATTAGGATATGTATACGATTATTGAAATCTATAACCGATAGGATATGATTACATATATGATTTTGTAGTGAAATATCCGGATCCGTATCTAAAATATCCGAACACATATTTGTCATACTCTTACGATTGTTTTAATTCTTAAATTATGGATTTAGGGTTAATTTTGATGATCAAGATGTCTAATGTTAGCTTTTCAATTATAATGAACATATTAACGAACTCTTTGTATCACATGAACTATATTTTTTTCAATATTATCTAGTTTTCTCATTTTTGTTTTGTATCCATATGCATATCTACTTTTACATCTCTATATATATATATTTATTATTGTATCCGATTTTAGCGAACATGGACATAAAATTTTCTTTGCTGACGTGTATTGAGTAGAAATGAGTAAGGTGGATGTGGATATGAAAGTTATCGTATCCGAGCTCTATGCGGACCGACTACACCCCTAGATAGCTGGCGTCATTATTTTCTCCCTCACCTCGACGTTTTCTCTCTCTCTGTTATCTGCTCCGCGCCCGGGCCCCATCGCTTCGTCGTCTGCCCCGCCTCCGCTCACGCCGCGGCCCACTCGCTCGGGACTCGGCCTCCGCCTTTGATTTCGGCTTCTCTTTCCAAGCCCCGACCTCACCCGCCTCCTGCTCCACCGCCCCCCTCACTCTCCCTCTCCGACGCCCGTCGATCCTCTCGCCGCCGCCGCCGCCTCCCTGACTACAACGGCGACAAGGCAGCCCTTAATTTTGTAAGATAATTTGTGTATTTGATGAATTGTACATGATGCGAGAATTTTTGTAAGATAGTTTGCACATTTGATTGAATTTGATTCTCCCCTCCACTAACCAGCTCTTTTTCCAGTCTGTCCTTGTTATTCTTGTGCCGGCGACTCCCAGAGACAGTCTCTGGTGACCAAGTTCGAATCGAAATCAGCTCAGCTTCTCTCTCATGGCTCAAATCCCTAATCTCGACAATTCCCCTCTCAATCTCGCTTCTCTCAGGTGCCCCAGTTTCCCTCTTCCTCTTCTTTGTTTCGCTTAATTCTGTCATATTTGGGTATTTTATCGATTTTTTGTTTCTATTTTTTTTAATTTATCAGGGAGCAATCTCAGAAGGATCTTCTCAACATTTTGAAGAATGTGAGATTTTCTCTCCTCTCTCTCTCTCTCTCTCTCTCTCTCTCTCTCGAATTCTGTCTTTTTTTAATTTTTACTTAGATTACTTTGTTATAACGTTTAGGTTCGTGGAAAGAAATGCCTCGTCATTGATCCGAAGCTCGCGGGTTCGCTCTCACTATTGATTCAGACTTCACTCCTCAAGGTGTGTCAATTGTATTGTTTAGTTTGTTTAGCTTTAGGTCCAATCAATAGAAAAAAGAGAAATGATCATTAGTATCCAAGTTTTCATGTTATTTAATGAGGTTGGGCTTTTTGATGTTGACAAGGGTTTGCATGAGAATTAACCGAAATAAATTCCTTGGTAAGGTACCTACAAGCAATGGCATTGTTATCCACTTTTTATGGAAAATTGGCATGTAGGTATATTTGATCATGATATTAAGACTATGCAATCTGAGGACCCCATCAAATTCACATAGGGGTTGTTTGCCAAAATGAACCATAGTCGAGGAAGGGAATTTAACAAAGTGGATTAATTTCCCCTGGAAAGAGAAATTCTTCCCAAATGCACGACCTGAGGTTAACTGCAGATGGAATCATATTGGCATGATCAACAATTACATGAAGAACAAAATGGATGAGTCTGTGGTTATGTTTCTTAAGGAAGAAATTAACAAGGTTGTTTTTGTTTGGTATTGTTATATAAAAGCAGGATAAGACAGAGTAAGAGAAGATATAATGTCATAGCTATTGAGTGTTAAGTAAATAATATGTTAGATTTTAACTCGGAAAATATATCAGTCACACTAAATAAACACCACATGCTATCTACAGAGGCCTGACTAAGTAATTGAAGTTGTGGCAAGAGCCAAAATTTCCATTTTCAATTCTATGACTAGCAAAAATATATCATATCAGAAAACCTTGTTCAAACTTGATATTGAATTTCATATGGCTATAGGCATTCTGCAATATGGGGGCTATGATCTTCTCATAAATATAACACTTTCAAACCCCCTCCTTTGGGTTGTGTGGGGATAAGGAGTGGTCCTTTTGCTCCTTAGTGGTTTTTTTACAGGGCCTGCGATGCTATGGAAAAACAATCACCAATGCTCAACTTCTATTCCTAGGATCCAATCCGCTTCAAGATGCACTCCAACCTATATTGGAGACTGCCTGGTGGGAATGTTTAGGATCCCCATCAAAGTTGAAAGTATATATATTCTGTGCAATTCAACTTAAACATTTGTAATGTTAAAATGATCCACATCATATAAATGCCTAACAATAAAATATATACAATTGTGTGGTTTCTTACTTATCCAGCATTTCATTTTTGTGGTTTCTGACACCTCTCTTTTGTTAGTAGTTGTGTTCTAAATGAATGTGGAGTTTCTTATGAATTATAATTCAAGAATAGTTGCCTTAATATATAGTTTCCGGGGTACCTTCTATTGTTTGTTTGTTAAGCATATTACTTTTATTTGCATGTTTCTTTACCATAGTTGATAACTTGTTTTATTTTACACCATTTTATTGCGACTTTTCTGCTTCCTCCTCCTTTTCTTTAATGCATTTCACATGCTGAAGCAGAACAGGATCCTGACACTACTATTATGGTTATCTTGCATTTTGATTAGGAAAGCGGTGCTGAACTACGTTATCTATCTGAGGAACCTGTACAAACGGAAAGTAGCAAAGTTGTTTATCTTGTCCCTTCGCAGCCTAACTTGATGAAGTTTATTTCCTCAAATATTCAGAATGATCTATCGAAAGGACTTAACAAGGAGTATTCTGTGTATTTTGTTCCACGCTCCACGGTTGCTTGTGAGAAGGTGAATTTCTTCTGGAAATTTTGTGTTATGTTTAGATTTCACTAGTGACACATTCAAGTAAAATTTTAACGACTTTGTTAATGCTACCCAAGCTGCATTGTTGTACAATATATCAATGTTTTGTAACATACCGGTGCCCTCTTTTTATGTAACACACCCATTTAATGCTGAAACTGTTTAGCGCAGAAAAAACACGTTATATTTTGTTAGATATGCATTACGTTATATAATCAGTTAACATGGATTTTTTTAAGGTTAAATTGAATCTCTAATTCGGATGCGTGAATACATCTCGACCATCCAAATCATTTAAACCCTACCCCTTTTAGTCATGATCACCCTATTCTCTTCCTACGAATATGCGATCTCTTCGCCTCCTCCAACCCAAATCCTAACTCTTTGCCTCCTTTGAAACTCCTCCGGCTATTAGCAGCTTTTGCGACTCCAGTGAGATAAATTTTTTTATTTTTTCAGTTATGTGTTGGGCATCTCAGTTTACATCCTTTAAATAAATAGTGATTCTTAAATTATCTTCCAAATTTTAATATATTCTATTGTCAATTTACCCTAAATCATGTCAAAGTTGTTGCTTCATTACTTTACCCTTCAGCATAATTTTTAAGATCCGTCACAGAATTAGAGTACAAAACTTAAGTAGTGGGTTAATTGTGTTGGTGAGATTATTACTTTCAGTTATTACTTGATTTTGGTTAGGTTTTAGTTTTTAATTTTTAGCTAATACTAGATTTTGTGAAATTAAGTTTGCATACAATCTCTGTGTATACAAAATTTGTTACTATTGTTACATAATCATGTCTAGTTTGGACCGTTTGGTTGATGTAGTGAACTTGATTAGGAATTAGAATATTTTTGTAAAGTTAAGAATTCGAGGGTTGTAAGTGTTTGCTTAATTTTAGACTATTTTTATTGCCTCAAACTTGATGATGTTAACATATTCGATCATTTGATGATACTTTTTGAAATGATTGTTAGTCATATATGACTAATTTTTGTTAAGAAATTGTGGTACTATATTTTATATTTGATAATTGTGATGTTATGTTTGAAAAATTCAATGATTCTAAGTATTAAAGTTATTATGAATTGTTATTATTTATAAAATATCTAAATAATTGATAAACAATATAACCTATGTTATGTGTTATGTTTTTTTGCGTTTTTTTTCCTTAACCCTTAACAAGAGGTCAAGCGTTACATAACCCATTTTCGTTATTTTTAACATTGGTTAGGACTTGTCTTTTACAACTATGTTGACACAGTTTTTTGAGAGGAAAATTTGTTAGGGGCTGTTGCGTGTATTGGCAAATTCTATCTTTCTGATTGCTTTGTCTTCATTATTGTAAAATGTTTGCCTTTTTCAAACGTGCCATTATCTTTGACTTTCTCATTTACATGTACTTCCTTTTTGTAATTATTTTATTCTGAAGGGAAAACTTTAACTCTTACATTACTTAGATGGCAGGCAATAAGGTTAAGGAAAGGTACCTGCACATGATTCATTCTTTCATGGGTTTGGTTGTGAGATGTGGCTTCTGTTTGCATCCTATATTGAAGGCTGGAAGCTAACTGATTTTTATGTGCAAGAAAAATACTGTAAATACTGGTGAAAAGATAATTAATGCCTATAAATACAAATAGCTTTACTAAAGCAGTAACGTCATCACCATTTCAATTATTGGAGAAAGAATGCCCTTGGTTCTGGCAACCTAATCATCTATATATAAAATTTAATGAACTAGATGATAATAAATAGATCTATATTTTGCAGGAGTGTGGAATCAAGGTGTATTCTAAACATTTTGTTTATGTTATCCAATGTTCTAAAAAGCGGACCTAAGCAGTACCTAGGCCGCCTGCCTAGGTCCTGGGAGCGCCTAGGTCATTATGTCTAATTGAAGAAAGGTCCATTTGGTTGAAGTTGAACATCCGGAGGGTTTGATACTAATGCACCTGCACTCTCTACATGTTCTCAAAGTCTCAAACTGAGTGATCTTCATATGAATGAAATGGGCTTGTTGTATCTGAATATGCCAAGTTGTGATAACATTTAGCTTCACGGAAAATGGTTTCTGGTCCCTTTATTACTTATGCAAGTTCTCCGGAATGTCTCATCTTTTTAAGTGAAAACTGGAGCTTTGCTGTTCTTGTGGCTTTTAGGTCAGCTATATACCACTAAATGCACCAGTTGCGAGGAGCGGTAAGATCATAATTAATGGAGTAAGAAGGATTAAAACTAGGCTTAAAAGGACCTGGCTAGAAAATATTAAGAATGATATGGTAACGCATAACTTAGTGGAGGAGATAATCCCTTCAACAGAACTGAATAGAAGAGTAGGATCATATAACCGATCACAAATTTTGGGATAAAGGCTCTGTTGCTGTTGCTGTTGCTGTTGCTGTTGTTCTTCTTGTTGTATTTGTCACTGTTTCTCTGGAAAACTTGATATCTATGGTTAAGTAAAATAAGTACTGAATAGAGTAGAACTGCAGGGTCTTAAAAGAAATTTCAATAAAAAATGTGAAGGCTATTTGTTTAAAAGGTAAGTGTTATAGAAGAAATTAATTTTACTTAAAGTTTTTGGAAACAATTAACTCTTACTAATAGTCACTGCCTATCACATGTTATATTTTCTGTATATACATATACATGCATGCATTAATTTTATGTCTATCTGTATAGACTTTCTGATGTAGGACAATTTGAAGGTCAAATCCAATTTGGTTAAAGAATCCTCAACTGGCGGAAATACTAGTTAGGATAGATAAGTTTGTTAGGATATTTTTGATTATTTTAAATTTTAAATTAGAACTCTATTTGCATTTAAATTCTAGCAAGATCGTATTAGTTGGAATTCAACTTGTATTAGGATTAGAAGCTTATTTGATTTTTGTAGTAGAGATAAGATTTTTAAACCCTATATATATGGGTTATACTTTCGTAGAATTTAGATTATGAAGAATTTTTGAAAATTTGAGTTAAAAGCTTGTGTGGTTTTTCTAAGGCGTGAAGCCATTGTTTCTAGGTGTGAAGCCAAAGGCTTAAGCGTCAGCATGTGAAACCGGCTTAACTAACAGTTAGATGTCTGTGAGTAAGTACGGTCTGACCATCAATGTTTTTCTCGTTTTTTTATCTTAGTAAGTACGGTCTGACCATCAATGTTTTTCTCGTTTTTTTATCTTTCTTTCATTGGGCTTTTCATTTCAATAGAAAGGAAAAAGTTACTGTTCGCTCAAGTTACTATACATGGGCTATTGTTCACCCGAGCACTATTTATGGTTCTGCTCATCCAACGTTTTTTCGCGAAATTCTTAGATTATATTCGAATTAAAGTTTATCTTTTTCGTTCCGCATTACTTAACTGTTTATGGAAACTCCATCTTAAGTCGCCATGCACGTTTAACAGTTTCATGCTTGCTTCTCATTTTTAATCTGTAAACTCCCTAATGTTGTGGACATTTTAAACCTTTCTTCTAAGTGATAATCTATTTATGATCGCAATGGTCCATATTCCTCCTTTTTGTGACTTTTGATATTCATAAGGTGCATTGAGACTCAATTTGAAATTAAGAATTGATATCCATTGATACCGATGGTTTTTTGATGAATTATCCTTATCTTTTTTATCATTTTAGATTCTTGAAGAGGCGAGTGTTCGTAATCTGATAACTTTGGGGGATTATCCTTTGTACACATTGCCATTGGATGAGGATGTACTATCTTTTGAACTTGACCTTGCTTTTAAGGTAGATTGCAAATGTCTGATATACTCTTTTGTCTGTTCAAGATGCTTATAGTTTTCATATCTTTTAATCTTTATTGTTATTTAATTCATAGGAGTGTCATGTGGATGGTGATTTGAGTCCTCTTTGGCATATTGCAAAAGCCATTCATAAGCTGGAGGTACTTATAACTTTCCCCCATATTTGTAGTCTCAAGCTATGTTGTGCGCATATTTTGTTTGGTCCATTGACTTACTAGATAGTAGCATACAGCTTGTGAAGTTTGGGTTCCATTGTACTTGTCAAAACAACATGCCATATGCTTGTATTTTCATGTAAATCTCATCTATATTTGTTCATTTATTAAATATTTCAGTTATCCTTTGGAGTCATACCAAGTGTGAGGGCTAAAGGCAAATCTTCAACAAAGGTTGCTGGTATTCTCAATAGGATGCAAGTGGAGGAGTCAGTTATCCCATCCGATGTAATTATACATCTTATTACCTCCTTCACTTTCTAGGTTGGCATATAACATGTGCAGTTATAAATGAATTTTGTTGCTTCAGGTTGGAATTTCTGAGATAAATACACTCATCTTGATAGATAGGGAGGTAAGCATGTTGCCCCTTCCATATTATTGTGCGGTTAAATGCTTTTCTTGTTAAAACTAGTATTTGCTTCTGTCTACTGTGCATTGATGTTAATATTGGTAGACCTACTTATGCTGCCATTTTGAGGTTAAATTTCCCTTGTTTGAATAGAACTTTGAGGTTTCACTAGATCATGATATCAACATATTGATGAGAAAGATGTTAAGTACTTATCATACAGATTAACCGTTTACAAATGTTCTCAAACCACCATCTCGAGATGTGACCCCCTACTTCAAATTTATTGGATTGTTGAAAAGAATGTTTTAAAAAAAATTTAGATCAAGATCATCCCATCTCGATAAAGCATTGGATAAATTAGTTTCAGATTTTTTTTAATGAATCTGGAGGTTCATACATGAGAATCGAGTCTTAGTTGCTGAAATTCGACAAACTTAGTTATTCCCTACTCAAGTAAAATTTAATATAGAAAGGAATTCAACTCCTCTTTTGACTATTGGTATTTTGTCATTGCCATACCAGGAAGAGAATAGATTATACAATCATGATTAAACTCCTCTTTTGACTGTTTGCCTTGTAACAACCTTGGAACCTTTTCTGGATCTGATTACTGTGTTGTACCACTCATGATGGACTTTGCAAGCACTGTGGTCTATAAAGGCTATTGTCTTTGGATGTGGTACAATGTGACTTTGTGATTTATTTTATGTTGTTCTTGTAAGGATGATGGTTATCATGTAATTCCATGGAGAATGTTATTAGGAATTCCATGTGTTGTCGAATGTGTTAGCTAAGAAAAGGATTGCCTGCTATATCACATACGGTTGAAAATAGCGCCCAATAGCGCTACTATAGTGCCGCAAATTGCATTAGTGCCCACTACTTGCAATGATATCAGCGAAAGCGGTGGAATATAGCGCTATGCTCGCTATTTACTCAGCAATAGTGACATTTGGAGTGTTCATTATGGATTCTCAGTTTAATATCCGACTCAAACCTGACCCGTACCTGACCCGTAATTAACTAAAACCCCCTCAGCTTCATTTCTCTCTCTCTCCCCCCTCTCTGATTCGATCTCAAAAGGCAAAGAAAAAAAATTCTAAATCTCACGATTGCCATCAACTCCACTGCCTCTTCTCGTCTCCCTCCACCAACTTCGTCGCCAGCAACCCCCTACTCTCCCTCTCCGGCTACTCCACTTCAATCTCTCCTCTCTATCTCTCAAACTACAACACCTCAAACCCCAAAACCCTTCGCAGACTGCTGTCCACCTTAATTCCTACCTCTCCTTCTCCAACTACTCCACTTCAACCCCAAAACCCCCTCTCTGACTGCCTCTCCTGCTTCTCCGCGGCCTCTGTGAATGCAAAGCTTACTGAGTTCTCTTTCTTCTCCTTAGGATCTCTATAAATCAAAATATGCATTTATAGAATTTTAAAAATTTTCTTATGTGTTTGAATAATTATACATATTTAAATTGGACTGCTATTTGACTTTACGCTTTTTATCACTATTTTGCCGCTATAGCCTGAAATAGCCTTAGCAGTGTCTCATCACTATGGATGCTATCCACTATCAATAACTTTGATCACAAAGACACATACAAACGACTGTAGGAGCTCAGTTACGATGATTTGCTATGTGTTAGTGACTAGAAGTTACCACATCTGAGTACGTGGCTGTAGTAGCAAGGATTGGACATGTCCTTAATGTCTGGTGTATCTACATAAGAAAATCACTTTCACAATGAAATTATACTTGTTTGGGCATCTGTAAAGGGTTCTCTTTTGTCACTATGATGAAGTGACATCTTGTTCATGTTTCAGTGGTTTTCTCGCTAGGTTAAATGGTTTCGAACTAGGCTGTAGTATTTGACATGCGCTATTTGGTCATTGTAAGTTGTACACTCATAGCTCATATGTAACCTTAAAGGAATTTGACTCACATGTAATGTTTCTTTACATGTTAGCCTGTGTTTAGTCTTGTTCTCAATCCCTTGGACTAGTGCTCTGTGTTACTTTGTATTAAGAGTACCTTCATGTATCTTCCTTGTCAGGACGAAGTGTTTGTTCTCATCTCAAGTTACAAGTGAGCGTTGGTTGTTGGGTTTGAATATTGTGGACATGACCTATGTGCATGCAGTGTGCACCTTGTATAGTTATGAGTAGTTCAGACTTTCCACTAGAGCATTCCATTGACGCACGAGGGATATCCTCCTTTACAAGTATTCACTGGTTTTTGTTTGTGTATGAAGGTTTAGGAATAGTGCAAAAACATTAGGGATGAAAGGAAGGTGAGATACACAGGAGCTCCATCTACCATAAAACACGTTTAAAAAAATTATTTGTGATATTTTCCTAATATTTCATCAACTATATAATCGTATTACATGATAAAAACATAAAACTCTTGAAGTTCCATGACTGATCTTAGTTATTCTCTGACTCATTTGGAACCTAAATTTAGTAGACATCTAAAACCTTTTGAATTCCATATTTGATGTTCTACCTTATTTCCCCCATAATTTTGATAATAATGGACCCCGCAATTAACTAACTACCTATTAGGTTAAGGTCTGCTGAATCCTATCTTAAAGAAGAGACTCCTAATGACCTACATCTTTAACTGAAATTATTTTTTTTAAGACTGCATGGGAAGGCTGCCAAGAAAAAAACCCACACAATCTTTTGTACAGTTTTGTCTCTTGCCAAAGAACCTGTTCTGTTGTAGCCTAACAAGAGCATGAATGAAGGAAATATGAATACTTTTTTTAGGAACATTCGTCTTTTTAGGTAAACTAGAAAAATATAATGCATCAAATTGTAATTAGGCTTCAGAATAGTGGATCGCTATTTAGCAAAAAATTATTTACTTATGGCATTCATGTTAACCCAAAGACTGACCAAGTAATTGTGTATGCATCTTTTCTCTAGTCATTTGCTCATCAATTTGCAAATTCTATGCAATAGTATAGATATTGTTTATGAGTTATGGATACATTCTTGTCTGCAGGTTGATATGGTGACACCAATGTGCTTTCAGTTAACATATGAAGGATTACTGGATGAGGTTAGTGATGGTTGCTTTTAGGCAATAATTCTGTTATCACATCTGAATTTATTACTTGCGAGGGTCTGGACATCTCCTCGGAACACCTCATGCGCTACAAAATTTGTATACAACAACATCACATGTCGAGCTGATACTACAGAACATATTATTTTGTTTTAACATAGATGCAATTACCACTTGGACGTACTTGAAAACAAAGACAGTGAGAAAAAACTTTGCAAATAATATCTGACAGGTGGAGGTCCATACAATTGATAACTTTATTGTTGAAAGAAATGTATTTCCAATACTAGTTGCTCTCACTTGAGGACTTCCATCCATGCACTGAACTGAAGTGTGGAAAGAGAGAAATTTATCCCATTTAGCATTAGCTTTCTATTACATCTAACTCTTTAGACAAATTGTATTCCAATTGCTGATAAAATACTTACCATTTGATGCATATGAGTGATTTTTGAGTTTTGATCCCAATGTTTTTTTACTTACATGTGATGTGATATACTCCTAGCTCACTGAAATTTCTATTCTCTCGCCTCTTAAAGGAAAAGAAAAAGAAAAAGAAATGTTAGATGGAAAAAAATGAGAACCACCCTCTTCTCCTTTTGGAGATCTTTCATAATCTTATGTCTTTGCAAATGGCTAGAAAATTTTTGTTTAGGACACCGCTAGTTATGGTCTATTTGTTTGCACGAAAGTGACTATGAAGTTGCTAAAGTAAAAAAGTAGAGGCTGGTTTTGCTATCTCTAAGCAAAAAAGTCTATTTATTTCTCTAGAAAAGCTACTTCTAATATTTCTATAAAGATGTGACGCCTACGTGTCATGCCTACTTAAATATTTTTCCTCCCTTAAAAACTCGGAAGTACCTCGAAAGTAGCTGAATCCTGAGTAACTTTAGGAATAATATCAACTTTTGTATTATGTGCATATTCTATCTTTCTAAATAAAATCCCGAAAGATCTTCTTTCTCTCTTCTTAATAATATTTATATCAATAATTGCCATCCAAACAAAAAGTTAATGAAGTGGAAGAAATATAGTTTCTACTATTTCTAAAATTATGTGAAACAAACAAAAAAGTAGTTCTTCTGTTACTTCCTATTTCATAATTTTAGAAGTAATAACTTTGATGATCTACTTGCTTCTGGTACTTCTTGTCAATCAATTGGGGCCTTACATACTTTTAGAAGTAATAACTTTGATGATCTACTTGCTTTTGGTACTTCTTGTCAATCAATTGGGGCCTTAGTTGCTGTAATTTTCCCTCTGAATTTGCTCATATGCTTATACGAAACGGCTCCTATTATCTTCTTGATGCACGTTTGGGCTACATAGTCTTTTAGTTTGAATACTGATTTCAGAAATTACATTACTTGGACATCCATTTTGAACCGCTTTTCACCATGGATATCAAATTCTCTATCTATTTTCATGCTTTTGGCTCGAATTTGGTGTCAAGTTCATTATAGTATAATTTATAACTTTTAACCCTCACCATAACTTGGGAGTTTTGGTGTAGTGTTAGTCTTTTGACATGATATTTGAGCAATCCTGGTTCAAGTCTTACTAACCACAAATTTCTAAAAAAAGACGCCGCTTTGTGAGTCCAGATTTCGGCCCATAAAAGGGTTCTCAACGTGGGACGGGCATGTTAGAGTATAAAATTATAACCCTCCCCTCATTAAAACTTTAAAGTTTTGATGTAGTGACGGGGTTCGTTGACACAACTTATGATTAAATGGATAAGCTGTCACAAATAAAATAAAATTGAAACATACTTTTTGTTTGAATCTTAGGTTCTTATTATGTTTATTCAGATAACGATTTTTGTTTGCTTTTACGACGAGTTTCTGTGGGAGGTAATCTAGAACTAGGCTGGGTTATTGGCCTTAATAGTACATCTTAAGGAAAGTTCACCAGATAGAGCTGATTTTGGGGAACATTCTCACACAAATACTCCTAGATGCTGAAATTATGTATCTGTGTTTCTTACATGCACATGTGGCCATGCATGCATACATACATGAGGAACTGCTGTAGCCTGTATTCATGGATATGTCCACTCTCTCGTAGATCCCAGTCTCAGGTAAGACTGGGGTTATAAGCTTGATTTGGTATTTTTGGGTCCAAATCTCCAATTTAAATTCAAATTTTTGTATGTCAAATTTTTGTAAAGATAATTACTAAGTACTATGCACTTTGTACGGTCAGACCGTTTAATCTGACCCATTATGGTTATTTGCTTCTTAGTCAGTTACACAGGTGCACATTCATTTTGGAAATCCGGTCCAAATCCAACAATGGTTGCATGCACGTTCCACTTGAAATTGAGACCCACTATTATAATAAATTTCTAAAATTCAAGTCACAGTCCTATGTTTCCCTAATGCTATTGTTGATTTCTTTCCTCTTCAAAAACCTAGAGTGAAGAGCCTCCATTCAACTAAAGCCATGTTTGTTTTTCTGTTAGTGGGAGTAATATTTTTAAATAGTCTGGACACACCTTTTAAGCCTATGTTTGTTCCTTACCCAGCCCAGACTATTCTTGAGGAGAGATTCATTAATACCCAAAATGGGAACTAAAATAAACCCACCCAACCCGCACCTATACATTCCATCGATTTTTTTTATTTTTTATTCATTCTATCTGTTCTCTTCTTTCATTTTGCATTTTCTCAGTTAGACTTTTGTGGCTGCATTATTTTTGACAGCTTCGACGGGTTCATCTTTATTTTTCCGAAGAAAGAATGTATGATTGGCCTCCTCATATCTCTGTCCCTGTTTCTGCTATGCTATATGATGGATTGTAAACAAATTTATACATAATGATAATCTAGTTAATTATATTTCTATTCACTAGATATAGAAGTGTTCAGCCTTGAAGAAGGCCTTAGCATGGCAATTGGATTGTTGACACCTTTTGCTCAGAAAGTAGAGGATACAACCAAGAAACAATTTTACTGCTTTCTAGAGCTGGATCCTTTTCATTATGCAACTTTAATAAATAAAATATTATCTTTAATCACAAATGTTATTATGTAGTGAAAAATTATGATCTACTTTGAAGTTGTTACTAAACAGATGCATTAATATAGTATTAGTTGACTTGAGGACGAAAAGGTCATTCTGTTTATGATATTAGTCTGACCGATCATGACCCCTCTGAAAACAAACACTAGTCTGAATTATTTTATCTTAGTCTAATCATTAGTCCGTGCGAAAACAAACATTTGTAACAGTCTCAGGCTAGTACAGTCCATGAGTATAATCCAGGGATTACAATACCCGCTAGTCCCAGGATAAAAAACAAGCATGGCTTAAATAGCAAGGTGATGATGATGAACGATAGCAACATAGTGGTGACATTCAAAGCAGAGCACAATTGTCATGGCATGACGTTTGTTGAATGCGAGTATCTATTCAGTTTTTCAATTCTTTTTTTCCCTTCCAATTCTCACTATTCTTTTCAAATTTTGTAGTAGCAGGTCGGTAAGCTTGTGCTTCTAATGCTGCCGGTTCTCTTGATATGTCTCTAACTCTAGTTGTCTTGAGTTATAGTTTGATATAAGTTATTGCATTAGTATATGGTCTAATTTTTATCATTTATATAATACTAAAAAAATTCAAATCGGGATAATTCCCTTTCATCGGTTCATTTCATTTGAATATTTTGCGCTTTTCTGTTAATATCATGCATTTATATAAGATTATGTGCTGATAATACATAATTTTTCCTGCTTGGCAAATGAGATTGCTCTTTTAAGTGTATACTTTGCTGATTTATGATTTTCTTCTGCTTTACTTGGTAGCACTTGCAAATTATTTTGTTAATATTTTTTCTACATTTGAATATCAGTGACTGGGTATTTTTTATGTGAGGCTTTTCTAATAGTTCTCTTTACAGATTTTGCAAATTAATAACAGCTCGGTTGAGGTTGATGCATCTGTTATGGGTTCCCAACAAGATGGGAAAAAGGATGTGAAAAAGGTTAAGGTCCCACTTAGTTCAAGGTAAGAAGCAAGAAGAATTCGGTTAATTTTACATCATCTTATATGATAAATATTCTACTTAAGGGATTATATTGCTTTTTTCCCCCTGCTGGAAGCATACAATTTGACAAAATCGCACAGTAGCCACATGCGACTTTTTTCACATGGGTTATATACATGCATGCGAATAAGTTGGCAATTAATGCTTCACATTTTCTATACTACCATGGACATACCACCCAAAATCTTATTCTAGGAGAAGATTAGTGTGTGCGACACTACTGCAACTTTAGATCTCTTTTACCTTTTTCTTCTGGAGCAGCTTTTTCTTGGTAATATGATATGTTCATTGTTTATAATTCTTATGAAAAAAATTACAACTTAGGCCTGAGGCTAGCATGTCTTAAATCATCATCGTGAACCCTGGCAAACTATATCATAATATAGACGCTGATGGTTCGTCAAATTTAGTGGTATTAAAATGCTTCATCTCTGATATTTCTCTAATTCTGTCACCTAAGATGGTGTTTCCTCTCATCTTCCCTTACATTATAACCATAACCATCAATTCTTGTGCTTAACCCTTGTGTTGGGTCGGCATGTGTCTTCTAACTATTAAGGGCAGCCTATATGTTTATATTTTCCACCAGAGGGCATATTAGTAATAAATATCATACCTTTGCTTTTTCCATAGATATTATTTATTTATGTTCATAGATTTAACCGACCCTGAAAATTTGGTAGAAGGCTTTTCTGTTATTGTTGGTTTGTTCTCTTAAGTTTGAATCTCCTCATTTACATTATTGTGATGAAATGATTCATAAGTGCAGGATACTTATGTTTTTCTTCTGCAACTTTTTTTGATGTTTCAGTGACAAGTTGTTCAAGGAGATTCGAGATCTCAATTTTGAAGTTGTTGTGCAGGTTGGTGATTTTCTTTAAACGTTTTTTTTCCTTTTCTAGATCGTTACTCTTTCTCCATGTATATAACTTGTTTCCAGCTGGATGAAGTGTTATTAGGATTAGAAGCTTATTTGATTTTTGTAGTAGAGATAAGATTTTTAAACCCTATATATATGGGTTATGCTTTCGTAGAATTTAGATTATGAAGAATTTTTGAAAATTTGAGTTAAAAGCTTGTGTGGTTTTTCTAAGGCGTGAAACCATTGTTTCTAGGTGTGAAGCCAAAGGCTCATGAAAATTTGAGTTAACAATATAATTAAAATCATTTCCATTTTCCAAACTATAAAATGTTTAAATCTCCTTACCATTTCTTTGATAACAAAAGCTCATGAAAATGCTATTGATTCTAGAGGGTTTAATAACCCCCCCCCCCCCCCACACACACACACAAATAAATAAATAAATAAATAAATATTCTTAAAAGTACTTTGTGAGCATTAATTTCAGGTTTTGCGCCAAAAAGCAACTTCAATCCAGCAAGACTATGCAGAAGTGAAGTCTACAGTAAGGACTAAACTTAAGCTTCATTTAGCATCTTCTGATTTATATTCGAACTATTTTATTATATCTGCAATATTTTACTATAGAGACTGAAGCTTATCAGTACTGTTGTTATTATTTCCTTGAAATCTTTTCTCGAGTTTTACTTGGTACTTGTTCTAAGATGAGAAAGTTGTTACCTCTTAATTGTGTGACAGTTACTTGAGCACAATATTAGCTTGGAAGTTTTCTCAAGATGCTAAGCGAATGAACTAGTTGAATCTTGGAAGCACCTTTAGTTTGTTTGTTTTATAGAACCACCTTTATTTTCCTTTTTTTGGGTACGGTTTAAAATTCTTTAAACAATTCCAAAAGAACTAGGTTTTGATTTGGCTACAATTTTACTTTTATCCTCCAAAAAGGAAAACAGTTTCCATTTTCATTGTAGTTCCACCAGAAAGTAGTAAATAGTATCCTGATCTAGAATGATTAAGAGTGAGACCAGAAAAAGGGTTTGAGTATCCTTTTCCAAAAACCGACTTACTAAATTGTTGCGCCCATGCTTCAGACTTTAATATGATTTTTGTAGATGGCATCTTCTTTTTCTAGAAGATTGATAACTGGGCTCGGGCATAAGGTTATTCACCAAAGAATGAGCTGTTAAATTCCATAGGCAGTAGGCATACTCCCCATACCACTAGTCATGGTCACAGGTTTTTTCGCAAGTGAAGGATAACAGGAGTGAAATTGTAAAATCAGTCAATCCAGTGTTTATGTGCAAGTCTATCTCCATTTGTTCTGATGGTGCAAATTGGGTTGTTTAGGTCGAAGATGGCATGGATAAGCCTGACCTAGTCGGTCCCAATCTGAACCAGATTCAGCTAAAGATGTCTCCATCAAAGCCTACTAACTACTGTAAGCAAATCCTTTGGTTGGGTCAGGGTAAATAAGACAACTAAGCAATGGCATAGCTGTTAAGAGATTAATTCTGTAACATTAAATCATAATCTCCAAGATAAATAACTATATAAAAGCTCCAAAATAGATTAATACACAAGTTGTACTTATCTTAATCATCAAAATTTGACTTCTACCATTGTCCATCAAAATGGATAGTTAAAACCTGGTTCGTTGGAGCTTTTAGATAAGAAGATGCTACCCTATGTTTCAACTGTGGCAATTTGTGAATCAAACTCTGAGCAATTCGTGTCTTATGTTAATCAAGCATATACTGATTCTGCTAGCATCTATAATTGGCTAGCATCTTTTAAAACACCGTGCTGCACCATCGACATATAGCTTCTTGTTTTTCAGTTTATCACTTTCATGGCGAGAGCTTTTGAAAGTCTTTGTTGCATAGTTCTAGGACCTAGGGTTTTGTTTTTGACTTTGTAGTAATATGTCATGCATCAGAAGTTTCATGCCTTTTATTATGTCAGTCATAATCATGCTATGTTATTAGTATTTTGACTGTATTGTAATACGTGACGCATCACTACTTTCATGCCTTTTATAATGGCAGACACAAATATCTGAGCTGAAAGATTTTGTGAAGAAGTTGAACTCACTACCAGAAATAGCTGTAAGTAGATATTGTCCCTTCCTTCCTATTCAGGTATGTACGTGAAGCTTATAAGTTTAATACATTCTGATTTTTGATTCAGAGGCACGTAAATCTTGCTCAACATTTGCAAACTTTTACAAGTAAACCATCATTTCATGCCAGACTTGACATAGAACAGACGATGTTGGAGTTACAGAACTTTGAAATGTAAGCTTAACTTTGCGTCAGTGTTTTTTTCTCTCTCCTCTGCAAACTTCATGTATAGAGAAAATGCAACATTTTTTATTTAATAGATTTAAGCTTTTACTTTAATGTTTGTCCAATTGTTTTGCTTCTTGATTTCTGGTGCATTGTTGGATGTATTCTTAGTTGTATTCCTATCCTGTTCTTCAAATTTTTGCTAGCATTTGGACCCTTTGGGGTTCTTGATGTTGATCAGGAACATGAATTTGACACAGCTTATAGTAACACTTAGCGAATACTGGTAAACTGCAGATGCCTCGAGTACATTGAGGAAATGATTCACAAGCAGGAGCCTATCGTGACTGTCTTGCGCCTACTGGTGTTATTTTCCATTACTAATTCTGGTTTGCCTAAGAAACACTTCGATTCTTTGAGGTGAGCTACAAATTTCTGCTTTTCGTATGCTTGCAATAATTGTTCTTTTTCTCTTGTTTATAATGGCGTTAGAACCATTAGTAATTTTCTTGTCTACAATTTGGATTGATGACTTGCTCAAAACAAAATGCAAGAAAAACTTCATAGTGCTCAATGCAGTCAGAATATTTTCCACTTTCATTTTTCATCTGCTTTGCTTCTATATTGATATGGGTTCAAAGTGCATTTTGTTGCTTGAAAATCAGGGCTTAAATATTGGTTAATACTGATATGCATTAACCATAGCAGATTATAATTTGAAGGAGCTGTGCAGAATCACACTAAAATTTAAGCAACAAGGCTGCAATTGTTCATGGTATAAATTTTGGCCAGTACCCATACAGAGTTAGGAGGATAATATAAAATTATCGACTTGTTTGTGTTTCTAGATTTATTTAGGTAGTTAAATTGTGTTTTCAGTTTAATTTTTTTAATTTATTGCATTATATTTGTTTTGTCTGGAGTTAGAGAAGAGTGGAGAGTTAATTCCATACCCAACGCAGATTTCCCAGGTGTGCCCCCCCAAAGGGCGCAGGGCCAAACACAGGAATAAAATCCACCCCGATTGATATATGTTTACATGAACACAAGCATCCATCTCTCCATATATGAATACGTGTGTACGTGCATTGCATGCATGTGTGTGTGTGTGTGTTGATGTCATTCCCACTGGGTCATGTGTCTCCCATCTCAGAAAAGAAATCTCCTCGTAACTGGCAAGTAACAAATAACATGCTGCAAGATGCATCCCTCTCCAATAATTTTGCTCTGGGTTGCGTTTGAGCAGATTTACTGCCACTTTGATACGTTCCTGTAAGTGTGGAAGTTGATGAACGTGTTTTGCTTCGTTAATATAAATCATACCTTCTTTTCTATAATTTCCTCAACCGAGCTGAAAAATATGAAACGGAACAAAAAGCTTATTCGTGCACATGAATGCCTAAAGAATCATTTTTTTGGGGGGGTTGGCAAAAAAGCTGTGGAGAACTCCCAATAATCACTTCAGGAGAAGCTGAAGCTGATGAGATGTCATAGCTAATAGTTTATATCGAGATAATGTAACACTTGACGTTCCTTGTAAGCTGGGTCTGTAGTTCTCATGGAAAGACATCTGACTGCTCTCATTAGAAAAGCATTATAAATTGGGATGAGAGTTGAACCCAATATCTCATGGCTCCTGGTGCTCTAGAACGATGTTAAATCCCATTTTATCTAAAAGTTTTAACTTCTCGGTTCTGGACCAACAATCTGTATCAAGCTTGCTTTAATGCTAAACAAAGACCAAAAAAACACGAGTTACAATGCCTATTGTAACAAACCTAGTTCCATTGAAGGGATTTTGAATTATTAACAGGTTCAGTTGATAGCTCCTAGATCATGTTTATGAGAGAATAAATTTTTTAGTTTGATTATGATTTGTTCATCACAGAAATTATGTCACTTACAACTATGATAATGGAGCAGCAATTAGTGAATGGCGGTAAGATAGAAGTCAATCAGTTCATATTAAAGATCACTAAAATAGATAAACAACTAATCAAGAATTGCATACCTAGTCTTCTTCTTCAGGCCTTCAATCAGCTAAGGGCTCATCCCTTTTTTTAATTATTCTTGAATTTTTTGTGGCATCTGTGTTGATATATATGTGTAATGTATATTCTTCTCTGGTTTAGACGGGAGCTGCTTCATAGCTATGGTTTTGAGCATATGTCCACATTGTATAATCTTGAAAAATCCGGGCTTCTAAGGAGACAGGTATATCCTGCAGCCTTTAGTTGGTAGCGAACTTTTTCCTGTGAGCATTGTATGTTGTGTTGGTAGGATGGTTATCATCTTTCTATTTGATCCCTATATGCCTGTGTGAACTTGAACTTTTCTTGCAGGAATCTAAAAGCAACTGGCCAATTGTTTCTAAAGCTCTGCAACTTATTGCTGATGAGACAGACACTCCCAAGTACTAAATATTTGTTTATAATTTTTTTTCCTATATCATGCAATATCTTATATTCATGCTCGGATTTTACAATATATCTGTTATGGAGAATGGTGAACCTCTTATATTCTTAAATTTTATCATTTCTTGTTTGTGATAGGTATTATGTTGCTATTATTGATGCTTTCAAATGTTCAGATTATTTATTATTTTAGACCAGTTGATTTTAGCCTTTTGTGTAGTCTATTCAAATTGGATTGACAGAACCTATGTAGCACGGACACGGATCTGACACGGCCATCCGACACGCCGACACGAGGCAAATCCGTGTAGCACACACACTACCACACATAGATCACACTTGACATGACACATCTAATTATATTTTTGTGTAAATATAGCAGAGGTTGTTCTTAGCTAGTGTTCTTGTTTTTAAAGTTTACTTATGATGTAGTCATTCATAACAATAACTGAGCTTTAGATACTTTATATATATTTTTATATTTATTCATAACAATAACTGAGCTTTAGATACTTTATATTTATTTTTTTGGTCAGACCTGTGACTATAATCAACCCTATTACTTAGCTTGCATTATTAACAGTCACGGCGTCATTCTATTAACATTAAGCAGCTACAAGTTAGCGAAGAAATGGCATCACATAGGGGAAAACAAAACAAGTGCATAGTTACGTACATGTTCCCGCTAGAGGTATAAGAAAAGATAGAAGTAGAACATCATATATACACAACTATCAGAGGAGAAAATAAAGTTGTACCAGTGAAGAAATGACTCAGAAAGAGCCATTATCGGGCTCGGGGATATGGTAGATTTGTGATCATCTGATAAGTTAGAGACTAGTGGAGTATATGGTCCATCTCCCTGTCCTGAACCATGGTGTACTTACAAGAAGAGATATAACTTACCCCATCATATATATATATACAACCATCAGAAGAGAAAATGAAGTTGTACCAGTCAAGGTACGTCTCCAGTCAAGGTACGTCTCAGAAAGAGTATTGATCATGCTGGGGGATATGGTAGATTTGTAACCATATGATAAGTTAGATACTAGTAGAGTATGTGGTGTACCTCCCTGTCCTGAACTGTGGTGTACGTACAACTTCCAGCTAGAGGTATAAGAAAAGATATAAGTCATTAACTTCCGTCATTTCTATAAACAACCTTCAGAAGAGATAATAAAGTTGTACCTGTCAAGATACGACTCAGAAAGAGTAAATGATCATGCTGGGGGATATGGTATATTTGCAATCATCTGATAAATAGTAGATTATATAGTGTACCTTCCTCTCTGGAACTTACATTTGGCTAATTTTTGGGGTATGCAGTAGCTCTGAATAATGCTACGACCATTCAATCCTAAACCCTAATTAAAATTCTCTTTCAAATTACTCTAGTTTTGAAATCATTTTATGGCTTGCATGTTGATGATGGGATACCTTTCACATGTTTTTCTCACTTCTGCTAAAGTTATCATCATTTAAGGGTCTTGCCAATCATCAGTTTATAGTTTGAGCAATTTATTTCTGAACTTGCAATTTTCCTGTTTCATTTCCTTCTAATCGATGATTAGTGATTAGTATGATTTACTAATCATCTTATTTGTTCAAACATATGTATTAAAATTCGATTTGAGACTTTCTGTCGAAGTGAGTGCTGAATTGTTTTTCTTTATATCCTTGGAAGTGAAGTATACTTGTTTTAATATTGACATGGTGTGTGTATTTATTTCTATTGCAGTAATTATTAGTCGTAGTACAAAAATTCTCTTGGAAATACTAACTGAAGTCATTGCATATTCGTTCTTGATTGCAGTCCCAATGATATCTCATACATCTTTTCGGGATATGCCCCTCTTAGCATCCGCCTAGTACAACATGCAATTAGATCTGGATGGTAAGCATATTCTCTTACTTGCTGATCCGGATATTCTTTATGTGAAAAAGAAAGAAAAACACTTGCGTATGCTTTTTCATATTTGTTCATATTTTAACATGTCTCCATGTCTTTTTTGATACTTAGGAGTACATGTGGTTAGATTATACTTTTGTCGTCTATAACTAGTTATATGCATTTATCAAAGCAAGGGATAGACTCATAACTTGTGTCATGACTTCATCGTGATAAACTAGAGTTTTTAATAGATGAGATAAAATATGAGAGAGGAAAAATGGGCTGGAAACAAATTTTATTAACTAGATAGTTCAATTGATTCAATGCATTATTGCATAAATTTCTGAAGAGATGCTAATGCTAAAATTATTTGATGTCACTACATAGATGAACGTGTTGCTCAAAATTATGGTTGGAATTGGACAAATTCCATCTTTCTACATTTTGCAATATATCTGTGACTTTTATTATATCTCTTATTCTTGGAAAATCAAGAACAAAAGAAGTTTTGTTTCAACACAACAAATATATCAGGACCTACAGGTACCATTACTTAACAACCTCTGTGGGGATTGTAGCAATTTTTACCTTTGGCACGATGCATCCCATGTTTAGTAATCTTCATTCTGTTAGTAAGGAAACTGAATTTATGAGATATCTAGATGCAAGCTTTCAAGCAATTTGTGAGCATGTGGCAAACTTTTTATTCCACCTTATGTGTATGTTTGTCAAAAAGGCATTCTCCAAGAACATATATAGGCCCAATGTTTCACTTTCTAGACAATATGTGTATGAGCGCACACGTGTGTGCTCATAACATATTCCAAGATCCAAGCATGTAAAAGCCCTTTTCCAATTAATGTTTGTGCACTGAAGTGTGGGTTTTGTAGACCCGATATACCATAATCTGGGACACCTGATACTTTAAAGTGCATTTGCTGGTAGACATATTGAAGGTTTCCTTGCAGGCGATCTATCGAAGATATTCTAAAGCTGTTGCCTGGACCACACCTTGATTTAAAGAGAGTAAGTCTGTCTTTGGTATTATGGTCTTCTTACTTTACAGGAAGCTAGAGGTCTATATTTCATGATCCTACAAAAAATGCTCTTCTTATCATGTGTATAAATAGGCTGGTTCTGCTAGCAGTTCATTTGATGCAGTGCAAGGAGCACAGTCTACTCTTGACAGGTGTGTATGCTTCTCCGTACCTATACAAAGATTTTTTGGCGTAAGCTACTCCAGTTGATGTTCTATTTAAGTTTAGGAAATGGCATAAATCTATAAATGTTAAAGGAGAAAAGAAAATTGCTTCTACATATTCTCTAATAATAATAAAAAATTATGTTTGCAAATTTATTTCGTGCTTTAGTTGGATACTCTCATAATGGTAATGATCTTTGCCCACTTAAACGCCTCTTTGATATTTCATCCTGTACTATTTGCCTAATTACGGACGTCTTGGTTAAAGATGTTCATTGCTTAAGTGAAAAAAGGTACAAACATAACTGAAAAGTACTTTGACAGGGTTGCTGATGGACGCCGTGCTGTTGCATTAGTCGTCTTTATTGGAGGGGTCACTTATGCAGAGGTTGCTGCTCTTCGTTTTCTGAGTTCACAGGTAGTACTCTCATCTTGTACTTTCTTCTTGACAGAAATTTAGCTGAGATTTCGCTGAGGTTGTTTTTTGACAAAAAACTTTAATAGTGTGAACAATGCTCGTTGGTATTAATCAAGATGTGCATCTTTTTCTTTAATCTCATATAGTTTTTTTCTTCTTAAACTGAATTGTTATTGAAAAACATCATATCTACGCCCCTTCAGTAGCTTATTCAGGTCGGAGTACTTGTTTAAAGTCCCAACTGAATGCACTCCCATAGATGGAGGCTTATTTCTCACGTTACTATAGTTTATAGTTATTTATTTTTACTTCCAACTCATGGGTTTTGATGGGCTTTCTTCATGATGTGTTTAAATGCTCAAATTAGTAGGTATTCTCTCGCTACACCTCGTGTCCTATCCATAGCGTTGTACATTTGTTTCATCTGCTTTTTATGGTTGATGAGTGATGCAACTCCGGTTGTGCTTTGCAGGAAGGAATGGGCTATGACTTCATTGTTGGCACAACCAAAATGGTGAATGGTAATAGCATACTCGAGACTCTCATTCCTAACAGCAGATGAATTTTGGGAATACTGAAAGCTTTCACTTAAAGCAGACCCCACTTCAATAGAGTGCGCTATCCATCAAAGCTTGTTTGTCTTCTCCTGATTCCTTGTAGGCATCATATCTGGCATCAAATGTATTCTTGTTATATGATTCTTGTTTCTTTCTCTTGGGATGACCATCCTCATGTTCTTGGGGATGCATGCGGTTTTTGTAAATAGCTATAGCTCCAGGATAGTAATGCTTGTGAGAATCATCTTTATTTATTTATTGTTATTTTTTTTGACTCCGTACCCTTTTCTTAATTTGTGATTTAATGTAAAATCTGCTCTTACATTTTTGCAAATTTTGTTATGCAAACCGTCAAATACTTGGATCTTAAATCTTCATAAGCAACTCGGTTTTGTTTAATATTTGACCCCATTTTGATCTTTGAATTTGTTTACCCCCTCAATAACTACCGAAGCAATTTTGCTCCCAGGTTCTTGCAGTCACATTGAGCGTGTTTATGTTAATGTCTCATGCAAGGGTGAGCTTTGATGCAGAAGCTATCCAGTGCCTTGGAACGAGACGAGAGAATTTTGAGGGTCAATACATTGATCTGAGAGTGATCGGTTATTCTCTTTCAATCCACTGGATAGTTGATAACATCATAGACGTGGTCCGTCTGCGATAGGCGACCTAGTGCTGAGAAAGCATCCAGTAATATTAACAGTACACGAAAGTTATATCTGTTCTTGCATTAGTGGACTCGATGATTATTTTACTGATTTGAGGATTAACTTTATTTATTAATTATTATTATTATTATTTGCCAAAGTAAAGAGCGAGGGGAACCTTCTTAGGTTAAAATGAAGATAAAAGCACAAAATATGACATATAATTCATAAGTAAGAAGTCCATAGCTATAAAAGCAACATAGGAAATAAAACTATGAGACTCAAATCTTCCAAAGCTTGAAGCCGTGAACACTAAATAAGTCACTTGTGAAGAATTTGACGGTGGATTAGAGGTAAACAATCTCCTATTCCTCTCTTGCCATATAAAAGAAGTACACTTGAAGCAATGCGTGATGCATGTTTACTCCAAATAACGCTTTGTTGACGACACCTTCAGCAGAAATGTTCTCAAGCGTGATGCATGTTTACTTCAAATAACGCTTTGTTGACGACACCTTCAGCAGAAATGTTCTCAAACTCTATATTGTAGATAGAAATGGTTCACATCCAACCATCAATTGTGCAAATACATGATCCCAAACATCATGCACGTATGGGCGCTCAAGAAAGAGATGTGCAACATCCTTATTGGCAGCCATAATACACAAGTACCTTGAGAGACGATATTTGGCCTGCGTAAACACCTTGTAAGCACAAGAAGTTAGTCAAGGTATATGACCTTTGAACCAAACACAATTAGCCCAAGCAACTGAAGATCCTAGATTGCAAATAGATGATTATCCTCGATAACATTTGTGCAATGCGCTGAAATCGTTAGGCATATTCTTGGCTTTAAATTTTATCGACCTTAATTTGCGCCACAGAAGCATACCAGTATCTAATTGTGAAGTGCACGCTCAACCATGATGATGAAAACGCCAACATAATTGTTACGGCTTCACAAGTGAACGCCATCACCTTATACTATGATGCTCTCTCAAAAGGTATACCACTTTAACGAGCATATAGTTACATAAGTATATTGATAGAATATTGTACATAATTTTTGACAGCTGAAAGAAAAAAAATGGGATTATTGCGCATGTAAAGGGAGTCATGATTTCGAGAAATTTATGGAGACCACGACCCATTTCTAGAAGAGCAATCATTCAAGTTGCAGGTGTTCATTACATTTGTGCACGTATGTAAGCCCGACGTCTCTTTATACCAAAACTCTTTTTAATAACAATATAATTAAAATCATTTCCATTTTCCAAACTATAAAATGTCTAAATCTCCTTACCATTTCTTTGATAACAAAAGCTCATGAAAATGCTATTGATTCTAGAGGGTTTAATAACACCATTAATCACAATTGATATCACTTTCTCATGCTGCATTTTGATATCCCACAAACTATTGAAATCCATGAATTTTTTAGGTAAATATTTCAATAGGAGGGAGAGCATGAAAACTTAGTATCTACGCTAAGAATGTAAAAGGGATAGAAAAAGCCCGCCATATGCTTGTAAAATAATTTAAAAAATAATATATTAAATATATAAACAAATATTTGATATCAAATAATCAAATATGTGTTTATCATACTAGTATCAAAAAATATATGAATTTTTCTTAAACAATTCACACTAATATACCTTATAGTTTCCCTAATTTTGTACTGATATACACTCACTTGTTTTGGCAGCACTTCCATACTCCGAAGTTTTAAAATTGGCACTTTTAATACCTTATGTTATGCAAATGTGAGAACAATCTAGGAAAAGGTTTAACAATAATTAAACAAACACTAAAGATAAGTGTTCTAAAGTTAGCATGTGAGTATCACATGAGATTTTCAAGTGAATATTCTCACGTTCGCATAACAAAATTGTTAAAGATGTTAAAGTACCAATTTTGATAACTTTAGGGCATGTTTGGATTTCAATGGGATTAGGGGAAGTTAAGGAAAACTAGGAGATAAAAGAGAAGGGAAGGGAGTTTCTTTCCCTTAGTTACACCCCAAGAGGGGGTAATAAGGGAAAATAGAGGAGAGAAGAGGAGAAGTTAAGAGAGTTCCTTTCCCCTTGCACCCCAATTTGGGGAAGAATAATATTTGTGTTATTAGGGGTGAACTAAGAGAAACTTTATGCTATCCAAACAAAGTGAATGTCTTCCCTACCTTCCCTTCTCTAGCTTTCATTCTCACTTCTTCACCCCAATTCAAACAAACCCTTAGGCTATATAAGTTCTGCCAAAAACACTGAAGAATAATTATGGAGCTGTTAGATCCACCTATTCTATCAACATTAGTCCCGACTCTTCAAATGAGTATTGACCACTTGAACCGTAGCGATGAAGTTTTGAAGACTGGAAATCGCCACTCGTGAACTCCGCCAAATCGTGGAAATCGCCGCAGGTTTGAAGCCGTCGTTCGTGGAAATCACTGCTCGTGGAAATCGCCGACGACGAAGGCACTGTGGAAATCACCGCAGGTTTGAAGCCGCCGCTCGTGGAAATCGCTGCTCGTGGAATCACCGTTGCTCGTGGAAATCACCGCTTGTGTAAATCGATGACGACGAAGGCACTGTGGAAATCAAAGATTCAGCACAGGAAGATCCAGATCGTGGAAATCGCCACTCTGACGAAGCATAGGAATGAAGCAAAGGACGATCCAGATCCAGATCTGAATCAGGACGAAGCTAAGGAACAAACCACTCGTGGAAATCGTCGCTGCTCGTGGAAGTCCCGTAACTGGAGGTGAAGCCGCTCTTTGGGAATCGTAGCCGAGGGCTATAGTTCAGGGGGTTGATTACGTCTTTTCCTTAGGCGACACAGAAGTTGTTTGTCCGCTGCCCACTCAACGGGGTTGACGGATGCGCGACAGGGGGCTCTGAGGGTAGGGAGCTCACCTCTGGGTATTTGGTTATTCACTTACGTAAACATCATCTCTATTCGGAGTCTAAGGTCGAGGAATGCAAGAGGCTTTTAGGCCGTGACATCACCATTTTCAATGCCTTTGAGGCCACCCTACGTGCTATGGGGCAATGGATGTGTGGTACGTGATTGAGGATCCATGCTTTAAGTAAACATTGTAAGCATGACAGGGGACTGTCTATTCCACCACCTTAAGAGGACGACGGGGGCAATGTGGGGTGTGTCATTGTGGGTATCATTCGGCCCCTCCTATCCTCGAGTATGTGTCACCTATCCCCTCCTTGGGTCTACAACATTGTAAACTTGATAGTAGTACAATTGAAAGGGTGTTTAATTGGGGTTTTCGAATGGTTAAAAGTGTTCCCCCATCTTGTAGGTTGGCGTTCTCGGCTGCCCTCAAAGCCTCGCTCTTTGGGGTGTCCTCCAACCTGCGATCTTGTGATGCTTGGGTACGGCTTTTGATCTTGCTGTGTTATACTTTAAGGGTTATTAAAACTCATGACCACAAGAGTTCGAGGTCAGGTAACAGAAAGGCTCTTCAACAACAACATATTTTGGAGGCTTTATCCACCTAGGGTGAGGTTGGAGGCCCTCAAAAACTCCTTGACAACATGTTCAGAGAGCTCCCCCCCCCCCCCCCCCGGTGCTCGCCTAACTGCTAACAATGTTAAATAGTGTTTGAAGAAGATATCGAACGGGCACTATTCAGCGACCATGAAGGTCCTCACATCCTCGGGAGTTACACTAGACACGCCGTAGAAGCGTCAGTCCCTTGAGGACAAGCACCCTTTGGCGCCTTCTCCGGTGTTGCTAGATTTTGGGTATAACCAAGCTGCTCTTAGTGGACCGCGAGGAGGTTCTCCATTGCATACGGTCCTTCCCTACGGGGACCTCTTGTGGCCGTGATGGACTTCGTGCCCAACACTTATTAGACACACTTTGTGGTCCGGAGTCCACTATTGCTAACGATCTTCTCACGGCTCTCACTCTAGTGGTTAATTTGTGGTTGCAAGGGCGTTGTCTGGCCTCCTTGGCGGAGTTTATTGCTAGTGCTCCCCTCACTCCGTTGTTGAAAAGTGATGGGGCATAAGGCCGATTGCCGTAGGTACCATTTGGAGGCGTCTCGTCTCTAAAGTGGCCATGAAGAAGGTGGGGAAGGACATGGCGAGTTATTTGGGAGATTTTTAGTTTGGGGTGGGAATCTCAGGAGGAGCAGAAGCAATTTTGCATGCGGTTAATAGGTTCGTTGATGTCCACCATGTGGAGGACTCGCTCTCCATGCTTTTGGTCAACTTTCGGAATGCATTTAATTTGGTCGACAAGAGTAGTATGTTGCGAGAAGTGCGCCTTAAGTATTCGGCGATCTCTCCTTGGGTGGAATTTCTATATGTGCAGCCCGCTAGACTGTATTTAGGGGTGGATTTCATTTGATCTGCTCGAGGGATCCAGCAGGGGGATCCGTTAGGACCTCTATTGTTCGTGCTCACGCTTCACCCATTGATTCTACGAGTGCAGGAAGAGTGCAAGTTGGCTCTTCATGCTTGGTACTTGGACGATGAGTCCTTGGTCGGGGATACTTTGGAGATTGCTGAGGCATATAATGTGATCGAGACTGAAGGCCCAAGGCTCGGGTTGGACCTTAATGTCACCAAAACTGAATTATTCTGGCCCTCACCGGATCCTAGGAGTTTGCT